CACTCTCTCTCTCTCTCTCTCTCTCTCTCTCTCTTTCTTACAACAAATTATCTCGTTTCTGTTTCTCGTGCTTGATTCTATTTCAATTTCTCAATTTCGCTCACACTTCCTTTCTCGCAATTTTTTTCTCTTTCACTTTCGTTCGTTCATAAAAAAACATATGTATGCTATAATTCTATTAAGAATTATAAAAAAAAAAAAAAAAAAAAAAAAACAAAAGAGAACAGAACAATCACTGTGGCGATTGATATCTTATCATCTCATCACCATACTTGATTCTCTCGATTTACATTATACGTTCTTGTTAAATCAACGTAATACGATCAGAGCATCTGTCTTCTTCGTTCCCTCCTTTTTTAAATTATTATTCTTTCTTCCCTTTTTTTTGTTTCTTTTTTTATGTCGTTTTTTCATTTTTTAGATTATGTTTCGTGGCCCCAATATTTTACAAGACAATAATAACATCATTCCGATCGATTTAAGGAATTTCTCTTCTTTCTTTTTTTATTTTTTTATTATTATTTTTTTTTTATCTTATTTTTTTTTTTTTTTTTTTTTTTTTTACTTCTTTACTTTACTGTATTTCTTTACTTTAAAAAAACGACTCATATTTTATTTTTGTTACTAATTTTCGTGACATATGGAACACTCGACATATGGTACACTCAAGATCGGAAATATGATCTCTTTTGGAGCGTCGAGTATAACTATGAGTAACGAGCGAAACTCCGATCGGAAGGTATTCGTGCGCATTTCTTGGTGAACGGTCGAGGATTATTTTACTTTTCATTATTTTTACTTTCCTTTCGTTACTATTTTTTTTCTCTAGTTCTACCGGGTGTGTTGATTATATTCACTCGGTGTTCTTGAATTCTCGCGCGTCTATCTTATCTCGATGTTTCCTCGTTAATTTCGTTTTTATTCCGACCTCTCTTTCTTTCTTTTAGAAACAATAGTTTTGATTAGACGAACTGTGAACTTCTATTCAATTTCTTCTTTATCTATGGAATGTATCACTATTTGGAAGATTAGTCACGAATCCGCTATCTGATCACGATGAACTGTAGCTCAATGAATCTCATAAATTATTTTCTCGATATTTTCGTAAGAATTCCAACTAAGAATAATAAAGTTATATTGAATAATAAATATATTAATGTTGTCTTGTAATAACTTCTCCGTATATGCAGAGACGCGAGCCGAAAAGAACGGGAAATTCGCGAAGAGAGCATTCGGTTCATCGTACCAAGAACGGTGGTCGCAGCTGACCGTGATTATTTCATGTGCAACTTGAATTCGGCGACACAGCACATTCTGTGGAACTAAAACTCAATAAATATGCTCGAATTGAGGAAATGTGCTTTATCGCCGCGCGAACACATATACACTATTCACATGACACCTCATTCTTCCTCCTCGATTCATTCGTCTCTCACTTTTTCATTTCACTAATATTCACCTTTCTTTCGTTTCTTCAAACTTTCTATTTTTTTCTAACTTTTTATTTTTCTTTCTTTCTCTCCCCCTCATTCGCTCTCAACTCACATACCATCATCAATTACTATTATTTCATTATATTTGTTTATATATATATATACATATATATATATATAAACAAATATATTATATATATATATATAATATTATATATATATTATATATATATAATATTCACCTATATCGTAGGGCTCTTATATTTTAATCGGCTAAAGTTTGCGAACTTATCGTCCTGAATTTTCTTCTAACTCTTACATGTATCTGTGTATGTATGTGTGTATGTGTATATGTTGCGTTTACGTGGCTGTATATGTTCTATGTACAGTCAAGATTGTAATTTATTCTGTAGCAACACTAACACTTGCGTTCTTAGGAAAGATTTCGTCATTCTCTCTTTCTCTTCCATTCTAACTCGCTTCGTCTCTTTTTCTTCTCATTATCAAACGCGATGCGAACCCTGCGAGACGTGGACCGATCGATCGGGCCGAAACACTAGCCCGTCGTCGCAGGCAACGATGAATTCATCGTGAATCGAATAATATATCTCATAATTGACTTTCTGTTAATTGTAGAATACGCGACATCGTTCGCGGCATCATTCGTTTAAATACGCTACTAGTTCTAGCAATTATCATTACCGTAATAATGTAATTAACTGTAAATTGAAATTCAGCGACGGTCGAGTGCCGATTTGCTCGAGAAAACCAGCGGTCAAAAGTCTTTTCGATCGTTAATCCAAAGAATGGAACTAATTACTGGTTATTGTAACTAAAAATGTTACAAAATGATCGATCCTGATTAGATCATCACAGAGTGATTTCTTTTGTCTGTCTAACCGTTGATAATTCTCGACCGCGAATCGTTATATATGAAAAATCAAGAGAAAAAAATTATTTTATCATTGGTCGTTTCGCGTGGAGTGCACGTCGAAGTCACCGTGTAGTGTCGTCGACGCGTGCACTCGAGAAAGAAAGATCGATCGATCGTTTTAATTAAAAGAAAATACGATGAGGAACGAAAGAAAGGATACGAATGATCGAATACAGAGGGCGACTAAATGTATCATTGCGTATAATATAAAACGTTCGCGGAGCAACGAAACGAATATTACGGATCCCTCTTGATTTCCCACGTTGTCGACCGTCCACTGGTTTTATCTTGCTCTATTTACCTCTTGTCTCTGTTGCTTCTTCGCGTTATTATTTAGGAAATAAAATTTTACTAAAAGGTGATTGCCTAGAAGAATAGTCGCCAGCCAGAAGGTTAGCTGCCGAAAATACACTATGACCGGTTTCCATGCACGCGACGTCGAACCGGATGCCATCTGACGAACGAATTTTTAAACTCGCGCATCCTTTAGCATCTATAAGCCGAACAACCCGAAGAAACTTACTATACGTATCATATATACGTATAGTATATGATACGTATATCATGTACGCGAGATTGACACGCTAATCGCCATTTTGTCCGGTTCGACTAGATCAAATCACCCCGTGCGTTTGAAGTTATATCAATCGATGAACGGATCATTAGGACGCGCGTTTCAGAGAAACGTGATCGTCGTGGTTCAAGTGCTCGTCACAACACGGAAATCGATAATCTTATTCTCGTTGCCCCTTCACTTCATTTGGTTTACTTTCGACTAATTTATAGTCCATTCACCGCGCTCTTATAATTCCTTTCTTACTATAGAAAGTAAGAAATGACACGATCAGATTCCACGAATCGGTGAGTTTGCTAACTTTTACTAATTATTTTTTTCTTCCTTTCAACGCGACGATTACGTCCCACCGTTATTCATCGATCTCGAGGAACTGTTAATCGAATCATCGGCACAGCACGCGACGAAGATTATAGCTGCACTGACATAAAGCGAGTCTGTTTATGGACGTTGTATCTGTTTTCAAGGGGGTGATCGATCCTAAAGCATGAACGAATTATCGTCATTGTTTCACTTTTTTTTCCTTTTTTTTCTTTTTTTTTTTTTTTTTTTACGTTTTAAACCGGTCTTTGAGTGAATAAAAATCCGATTTTCCGAATAGACCGCGATAGGCGTGGTCTTACAGAATATCGAGGTTGAAGCCTCCCGTGGAGTCAAGGGAATTCAGCAGTTCCTGAGCGCTGAAGTTCGACGTGTCTCCGGTCGGAAGATTCTCTAGAAATTCGAGGCTAAAGTCCGCCGCGGTTACGGATGGGTCCGTGGTAGTGGTGACTGGCGGTTGCGCATGCTGCTGTTGCTGTTGTGGCAAACTGCGCACTCCTGGACTGCCAGCGCCATATTGTTGATGCGGGTGTAGAGGGGAACCTGGAAGGAATTAGTTCGAACGTGATTGATGACAACATAAGGATTTTCTAATATGCATAATGAGAGTAAATATAATAGTAGAGAAGAGTAATATTTTTATGGTCTAATAAAAAAATGGAGAGTTTAAATGATAATAAAAGAGATAGTTTAAAATATTTGTATCACATTGAAATGTTATTTTTCATACGTAATAGATGAATTAAATTTTTGATATAGGAAAAAATTTACTATATTCTATTGTAATTTATCGTATCGTAAGTAATTATTATATTTAAAATATATATAATAAAATTTTAATTAATTATCAACGTTTTAATTGGGACAAGGAATTTTATTGACTGCTTTTATTCAATTACATACATATTTGATTAAAAATCAGCGATATTAAAAAATTTAAATATACATATAACAATGATAAAATATACGCAAACGTTATAATTGATATATTATTAGAACACGATTATTAAATCAAATATATTTCTCAACAATAGAAATTCGATTTTTAAAAACATTATTAAAATTTAATTACTTTATTTGTGTATATATTCCTTAATTATTACAAAATCATTAATAAATCGTCACTATAATTATTATTTGTGCCTATTTTATAATTCATTATCTAAATCTAAATTTTTCCAATCTTTCGCGATAAATTTATTTAACTAGAATAAAATCATTTCAAATAAATCATACTATCATTAAATCAAATCATAAAATTATCAAATTGATCGATCCAAAGATGATTGAATTAAATCGAAGTAACTTTTTTTTTAACTCGTTATCTCTCGATTATTACTTTTCGCTTTATGAAAATCAGGGAATGATTATCGTCCAAGACTCACCAGTTCCAGTACTGCTGACAGAGTTGACTGATGAGGACTGCGACATTTGCATCTGCAGTGACATCTGATTATTACTCTGCTGCATGGCTAATGTCTGCTGCTGGTGTTGCTGCGACAGTAGCTGCTGCATCTGAGTGCTGTTGGCCATACCGGAGCCGGCGATACCTCCACTCTGTGAGCGAATCAACTGTTGATGCTGCATTTGTGCGGCGTTCATCTGCATGCCACCCGTGCCACCCATACCGAATCCACCTGGAAGATAAGGATAAACGATTTAATCACACAATATTATTTATACGCTTATTTCATGATAATTAGTTAAAGAAAAACAATAATTGAATTTCCATTTATCATAAACAAGTTTCTTACATCTGAATTTTTAAACCACATAATTAACCACATTCCTATTAAATCTTTTCTAAGAAAAGATACAACTATAAATTTCATAAAATTTAACTCGCATTCTATCAATGTCGTTATTTCGTCGTAACATTCAACTACAAAAATGGAAATAACATCCGTTTATAACATACGATCCTTCCTTCGAAATGTTCCATTTCTCGTGGAAATTAATTCTAAAAAATCAAAGATAATCAAAGACCGTTCGAGCAAATCTAATAACCGGTTAATAAAAAATGATTTCCACTAATTATTGCTTAGAATTGCGATTCCTCGCGCCGAGTGCACGAGTATTACGAGTTATTATGGGAGGAGAAGCTTACCTTGGTGACCTTGTTGATTAAATTGCGATCGCATTTGCGCCTGAAAGCCCTGCTGCTGCATGAGAACGTGTCGCCACTCCTGCTGGGCGCCACGGCCAGCGATGCTATTTCCAAGGCCATCAGGCGGGCCAACGCTGACGTTAGGCGGCCGTTGATTGTTGGTCCTAGGATATCCAAGACGTTGATGCATTTGATGCATGCCGCCAATCGCGGCCATACTACCACCGCCCATGTACATATTGCCACCGGCGGCGTGCAATGCCTGTTGTTGTTGCTGCGCCATTTGCGGCCTCATCATCGGACCTAATGGTAAAACAAAAGATAAAAATTGTATTGTTAATAATTTCAAAAATTACTTCTCACGAAGAATTTTCCTTTTTCTATTTTATCATCAATATTTGTTGAACAGCATTGATTGCCAGTTTTTGCGAGTTTTTTGTTATGAGTTTGTTTTTGAAATTAGAATTCGAAAAAAGTAATGGAAATAAATGCCGTACGAACGATTCTGTGTTTATAGTCCGCGTCAAATCGAAAGGAAGAAGAATATATTTCTCGTTAAATTTAATATGTGGAAAAATTTTATGCAAGTTTAACGGGAATCGAAATACACGATTGAAGAGAGGAGTGATCGATCCTGAAGAAACGTCTCTTCGTTCTGGCCTAGGCAGCCAGATACGTAACGAAGATACGTATTGCGATGGAGCCTTAATGCTCTGTGGATTTTCGTTTGGATAAAATCTTATGAAAGTAGCTTCGAGCCGATCGATAGAGGGAGCCTCGTACGAGTGTATAAGAATATTTACGATCCCCTCTTTCCACCCTTATCTTCACCACTATCTCGTTCTTTTTAGCCTGGAGCAGAAAGATCGGGTTCATTTTCCACGAATACTTATCTAATGGTTAAGAAGAAGTGTATAAATATTATTCGAATGGACGCTCGGCCGTCCAGTCAAATATTTTTCCGCCATTATTCATTCACCGTTTGCTTTTTACGCGTGCTTCTGCGTCTAATCGAAATAATTCGGTTAATCGATTACTCGAGGGAAAGAAAGAAAGAAAAAAAAAAAAATTGCAAACATTTATCACGTTTTGTTCCACTTTATATTTTTTTTTAACGGATGATTGCTGCTCTCTTGCCCTCAGCTATATCTAAGAAATGTCATCGTAAATATATATTTTTTTTCGTCAAATATTTTTAAATTAAATTTCACGATTCTAAAAAACTTTCATTACAATTTAATTTTCTTTCCACGGTTTAAAATTTTTTAAATATATTTTATTATGTACCGTAATTTTCATACTTCTGTAATTTATGTTATTTTATTTCAAAATAGTTTTATAGGTTTTCGGTATTGCAATTTGCAATAAAGATAAAATAGAAAGGTAAATGTGTGCACACACGTATCTTTCTTTCTTTTTTTCTTTCTTTTCTTTTTTTTTTTTTTGTTTTTCAATAAAATTTCGAAAGTAAATGAAAATCTACCGGCGAATAATTCCATCGCATCGAAAGAACATTCGTCGTTTCGACGAAAAGAATCGATACTAGCGCCCAGATTCTCATTACCCTAAGTGCCTTCCGACTTCCAGTGCGTATGAAAATGACGTGACCGTTACTACTGTCAGCGTAAAAAAATTAACACTTGGATCTTGCCGATATCCACTTCTACGAACGTACAGTTACTCCCTCGATCGTGTATGAACTAGCGTATGAACATTTTTGCGTTGTTATTTCTTTCATTTTTTCTTTTTTTTTCCTCCTTTCATCATTTAACGCGGATATATATATATTTTTTTATTTCAATATTCATTATATCGATATAATTATCCAATAATTTGTCCAATATTTAACATAATCGGTATAAGTTTATTTTCTCTACATTTCTAGATTTCAGAGTTAAGAGAGTTAGAGTTTCTTTAAGAAATCTTTATTAACCGATGCAAATGAAACGACCACTGCAATTTCAATTTTTCTACTCACCTGAAGGTGGCATAGGTTGTTGCGTAACCCTGCGCATAGGCCCGGTATTGGGAAACCTAGCCTGTTGAGCCATACCGATACCAGCGTGCATCATTTGGGCCTGAGCCGCTTTGTATTCGGGTGGTGGCGGTCTCACGCCACCCATTCCTCCGGCCATGTGTTGTTGTTGTTGCATCACCTGAAAGACCAACCAAACAATGGATTTCAATTACATTATTAAATCACGTGTTTCGGGATACTGCGACTTTGAAACTCGACGCGTACCCCTCCATTGTATTATTTTAACAATAACGTCCAAGTCCTTAGGGTTACACATATTTCCAGTAAACAGTAGTAATGGAATTTATTCTCTAATATTAAAAATTGTAAATTTGAACATCTCGTTAATAATAGCGTTCATTCAATCTCCAACCATCTTCCAACCATCGTATCGTCAAACATTTTTTAAATATATTTTTACTCCTTAAGATACGATTCCATATTCGAATTTGTACACGTAGAGATTAAAATTCACTTGCGAGAAAGTGGCGAGTGACATCTGACGACGAAGAAAGGAAAGATCGCCATAGCTTAATAAGATATTAAGTATACCAGAAAATTCAATTTCAAACAATAATTTTAATGTTCGATTGCTCATATATAGAAAATATTCTCGATGATTTTCACAATGATCGACACTTATTGCGGACGTATAACATGAAAATATTTGGAATCACGAGCGAGATGGATATTCGAAGATTCGATCGAGCAACGAGGCTTGGAACAACGAATGAGTTAGAAAGCTGGCCGACAGATTCCACGAGGGAATAATTGCGAGTCCGCTCACGGCACGCATCGATGACTCGTTACGAGTCGTATTGTCGTCGAGGCTGGTTAGCACGGAAGTTCCTAGCATCGGTGTCGTTGCACAAGCCCTCGTGGATTGCGTTTCCACTTCCTGGTGTTACGCCGTGGCCGCCGCCGCGTACGAAAGCTCGCGTCGACACGAGCGACGACAATGAAGACAGAAAGGCGACCAGAGACAGTGGCCGCGCATTTTCCTCGTTACCAACCGAGATATACATTCACTGTATATGTTTCTCGACATTTTCTCCTCGCCTTTCTCCCTTTATGCTCTTTTCTGTCCGCATTTTTCCATTTCTTTTGACGCATGGCGAGCCAGAAGTGAGAACACTCTATCTTAATTGTTAATCCTCCGAGGTGAAGTTCCATTTTACCTTGAATTCTCCTTTCCTTTCTTTTTTCTTTTTTTGATAATACGATGAATTGAAAGTAAATTGTTGTTGTCTGATCATTTTCACGTACAAAATAATTTGATTAAATTTTTTTCATTCGTCGTTACTTAAAAAAAAAAAAAAAAAAAATAATTTTGCAATGCGTTTAACAGTTTGATAGTTTCTTCGAAGCTATTTCGTTCCCAAACTTTCTATCTACACAGATACACAAACGTGCAAAAATGGAGCACTCTCTCCGACAGATAGAAGGCATTTTTCCGTTATTCGACGTGTGCACAACCTACGATTAGCGCCGAGCACCGCCCTCATGCTCTCACGAACAGTTTCTGGTGAACGGAGGAAGTGTTCTTAAAATCAGCATGTAACAATTTCACGCGCGTTTACCGATTGATTCGCTCCTTCGAGGAAAGGAAGTGAAATGAATTCTTCATAAAAAAAAAATCTCAAATCCACATTTTTTTAAAAATTGAAAGGCTTGTTATTAAAAATAGCATTTCGTTTCGAACTCGATTTCAGAAGGAGAGAAAAAAGTCGATACGACATTAAATCAATAACAAACTTACGAATCGTTAATAGAATCTCTCGATCGTTCATTGTCGAGAAACGAAATACCACGAATATCGTTCTCACGGTAATTAGAAACACGATTGCTCTTTCGATCATATAGAAAACTCTCGAAAACTCCTTTTCTTTTCTCTCTCTCTCTCTCTCTCCATTTCATAACCACATCGATTTCAATCGAGCATGCACAACGATCTTCGAACGAGCGACGATCGAACGATCCGGTGTTTATCTTATCAAACCGTTTGTTTTATTGCGCGAGAGAAAGAGGGAACCACGCGTTCCTCGAAGCTTTCTTCCTCGAGAGAGAAGAGAGGGGGGAGAGGGGGAAGGATGACTAACCAATTGCGTGAAACCTGCAATTAGTAATTGGAGCACGATCGAAGAGTTGTCTTCGATATCTTAACATCGTCGAAGCAATGCTTGGTATTACAAACTGAGTCGCATCGTTAATAAATCGCGTCCACGAGTGGGAAACGTGAACAGAACGTTCGATCGTCAATAATTCTCTGAATTTCGATTTCATTTCAAATCGATTTATTGCTTATCAATATTTACATATTTATATCTTTTATCGTCAATGAGAATAGGTCGTTGACGAGAAATGAACCGTTAATATTTTTCTCGTTACATACGTATTCTTGATAATTTTTGATCCTTTCAGCTCAGAATCGATCCTTGAAAAAAATAAAAATTTAAGACGCGAAGAATTTGACGGGAATAAAATTGGTAATTCGATGTATTAAAGATTTAAATACATCGGTGAACAAGTAGAAATCTCGTTGGGCTGTGTCAACTACGCGTTAAAAATCGACAAGTGAGAAGGTAAACGTAGACAGGTGTCGCTCGTCGTGTAAAATCTTACGTTCAATGTTTCAACGATTTTTCAATAGGCCGAGCGAGGAATAAGCGTTCGAAGCAGATGATAATTCGTGGTGGAAGAAGAAAAAGAGAAGAAGACGATTCAGTAATTGAGCTCGTGGACACAGTTTCTTCGGATGCAAATTGGAAATGCATAAAAGATGAAGAACACGGTGCCGGACAAGATGTAAATGACTGCATGCAAATGTTGTGTCTGATTGCAAAGTTGCCGACGTTATATTATACCCGTACGTGTAACTAGAACAGACGGCTCGATACAGGCCTCCCTTTCTTCCCTACCTTCCTTTCTTTGTTTCCTTCCTTTGTCACAAACAGCGCACAAAGAGCAATAACTTTACGGATAAAAATTGCAAATTGTAAAGACACAGCTCGAAACGGCTGGAAATCATGTTAAACTAACGGCGCAACTTACTTGTAATTTAAATCCTCTAATAAGGCATTAAAGGTAATAACGTGTGCATTTATTACACTCGAGGAACGTCATCGTCACGACGTGTACGTATCTTTACGACGATCGTCATTCCTTCTTTTTCCTTTTTTTCTTCCCCATCCCCCCCCCCCCCACTTATGGCTAAATAAAGTTAAATCTCTAAGAGAGGAGGAATCGAGACGTTCCTTTTTATTAGGGAGAGAGAGAGAGAAAAGAATAACGATAAACAAAATCACCGAGGAAGAAGAACCTTCACCGCGACGATATAGAGAGATCTCTATAATTGAAACACGTATTGTCAAAAGAAAGAAAGGATAGCCGGCGAATAAAAGGAAAACGAGAACAATGAATAACAAACCGCAACGATTTTACTTCGATCGGGCTCCCTCGAGCAAGGCAAACCGCATCCGTAAACACGGAGTAAGAAAGCCGAGAGATCTCGTTTGGCCACGATAACACCAGACATTACTACGTTTTCTCCAGGAAGTGCGCGTGAACGCAGATTTCCCGGTTACGGAAAAAGTTTCTATTCATTGTTCCGTGGCTTCCAAGACGGTTGTCCTATTTGCGCCGTTTCTTTCAACAAGGTTGGAGAATGGAGAGAGACGCGATACCTGTTGCACGAACGCCGGATACGAAACTTAATGTTTCGAATAACGTCACGCGGCGTCGCCATTCCTTCTTCCCTTTCTTTCCCTCCTCGTATTTAGAAAAAAGATTTCCAAGACAGAACGAGGACAGTTTTCATCGATTTGTTTTCATCCCGTTTACATCTCATTTATATTTTCAATTCTAATTCACGTTTCATAATAAACAAAGAAGACGTCTTATTAAAACGCTAACGTTAAACTGGATCCGATCTCTGAAAAATTACCGACAAGATTAAAATTCTCCCTTCAGATCAGCGTTTAGATCAAACTAAACCCATCGAATTAACCTATCCCCAGCGGGGAAACACCGTTTCTATTACCATAGATAAACATCGCGAGTTGCCATTAGATAATTAAACCATAAACCAGTCTACACGGTTTCGCACCCTCCCAGGTTATCGCTATCGCACCATTATCCCTTGGAAATCCTTCGATCGATCGAAGGAGAGACAACAAGAGCCACACTCGCGTACCTGCTGGGCGCGCATCAGCTGCTGCTGTTGAAGAATTTTCGCGTGCTGATGTTGATCCACCTGATTCGGCTGCACTTGCTGGGGATGGTTGCGTGGCGCAGCGGCGCCGGCAGCTTGGGGCACGCCACCCGCCGCAGCGGCAGCGGCCCTCTGCCTCAGGCTCTGCTGCGTGAAGTTGATGGTCTGGGACTGCGACACCGAGCAGTAGGTGTCCGCCGTTTGGCCGGCCGATTGGTTCTGCGTTTGCTGCTGGCTGAAGTACATTCCTTGCTGGGCCGCCACCGACACGCCCGGCTTCAGCTCGCCTGTTAGCTGCATGTGCTGACCCGCGGACACCTGTAACGAGGAGAACGTTGTACCGTTATTCCTTGTTTTCCACCATTTCTTTACTCGAAACAAACTATACGAAGCGTGTATTAATCATTGGCGTTTTCTTTTCCCGTGATTTATGATTCATTGTATTTTAATAATTCAATTCAATTTAACGCTAAACCTACCACGGCGCGGGACCGCCGTTTCTGAAATTCTAGAAGTTCAGCCGTATGAATTTTTCTATAATGTAGATACAACCCATTTCTCAATATTCACAACTTTATGCATTGTTCACTTTACGAATTAGCTAAAATCTCTTTCTATATTAAGATACAAGTGTTTTTTTGCTCATGGTATAGGAATAGGTATAGATTCATGAAAATGTCGCTAGTGTTAAGTAAATATATTTTTTTCTTTGCAGATATGTCTGATGATTACACGGTTGTACGATTCGATTGTCAATGTATACCTTTCATTTTTGAAACAGCTTCGAATAATAGAAATTCGAGAATTTAAAAAATATTTATTCGTAGAATGGATATACGTTTATCGACGTTTATTCTCAATCGTGTGATTCGGTCTGGTTATAAAAGGTATGGATCCACGATCGAGCGTGGATCAGATCGACTTGGTGGTTCTCGTTCCTCGAGAGAGAGAAAGGTGCACAGGCAAACACAGAGGGTTCGCCACAGGCGGGCTGGAATTTGATTTTTAGCAAAAAAGCGGTGGACAAGTGGCGACTATTGTCCCGTCCTCGCTCGTTCCTAGGTCAATGATACAAAATGGCTACCGTTCTTCGATATCTCGTCCACAGAACGTGGATAAAGGATCGAGAGAGGAGTATATATACGAACGTTGTCCTGTACGGGCTTCGATTGACCCTTGACCCCGACAGTCGTGATAATCTAGTCCAAATTTCCCTTGTGATAACGAAACTAACGAAACTATCGTTTTTCAAATGAATTTTACTTGGATTCTCTTATCGATCTTATAAATATTAATAATTATAGATATTAATAATAATAATCGAGTTTTGTTACGAATATTATTACTTTTATTTAATTTTACCATCGTGTCATTCCATCCACCCGTTTTTATCGATATAACATATCTACTTTTTCTCTCTCCAGCACGATTTAAATCCTGAACATTCTAAACTTCTATTCCGTACGAGTTGAAAAGATACGATAGGCGTCGCCATTTTTGAACTCCCATTACGCGGGAATTTCAAACGCGAGTAATCGAAACAAACATTGGGATAATACATTTCTCTTCAGCTTCGAGCAGCTTGTTTGTTGAGCGATCGATACGTAAATTGCTGCCCTCTTCGTCTCGAAAGTATATTTTATTATAGCTTGATGACTCGTGACTAACGTGATCTGTGACGCAAGGTCTTGGACACGTGATAATCGAACCAAGCCTCGATCATCGTCTTCTATAGACGTCAAATTTTTCACTCGATAATTCTAAATAACATATCGAGGATTCTTGAGCGTTTTTGAACGATTATCTTTTAAAAATCTGTAAAGAATTTGGTGTCACATTTGATACGTTTTTAATATTCTAATTGCTTCGAGTTGCGTTACATCGAGTATTTTTTTTTTTTTAAATAAATCTCGTGAATTAAGCTTAGATTAAATTTTGTCGATGCAGTAAATTTTTGAATAATACATTGTTAAGATTATATTTTCTTACTTTTGTTGGTATCTTGAAAAGATACCCACGTCATAAAACCACGAAATAAACAGATACGATAAAAACATTCTTTGCCTGACATTGATACGACGATTATCGCGTTTACTTTCTGTACAAACAAGTAATTTTTGGAAACTCTGATTTAATTTAATAATCTATGCGGATGTATGTGATTGTTCATATAGCGTTATTGTTCTTGTCAAAGGGTATAATTTCGTTTTAAATTATCGTTAAAAAGTATACGTGTGTGTATATATAATGCAAAAAGAAAAATGATATATTACTTAAATTAGAAAACGAGGAAGTAATTCTAAGCGCTCTTTTCTCGAATTAATAAAATCATTAGCCAACCAGAATGATGGATATTACAGAGAAATAAAGTTTTCAACGGTATAAAATCATTTATACCGTTTCGTTCTTTTAATTTTATCATTCAAAAATCGAAATTTGAATGCAAATTGAATCGGATCGAGCGGAACAATCATGCATTCGTAATTAAACGAATAAAAATATAAAATAAAATATATGTTTATATAATTCTCTCGCACAATTGCGATGTTTTTCCTTAATTCTAACGATTACACGACTCTTTTATAATTCTTCATTGTAAAGTCATGAACGACTTCTTTCTTTCTTTTTTTCCTTCCTTATTTTCTACAAGACACGTATTATTCTCAATACGTGTGTATCTAATTTATATTCTCAGAATCGATGTTTATTATTCCAGAATATTTAATTACTCGTCGTGTAATAATGTGTAATCTTTATCACGCATACCCCGACCGCGCATATATTATTTTCCTCGGATCTTAACTTTTATTGCACGCTTCTTTAAATTAGAAAAAAAAAAAAATCGATCAAAAACCAATAGAAAAAAAAGGAGTGCAAAAATTCCATTTCGACGTCAATTATTCTCGTAAACCACGGCAAAATATTTGTAAATCAAAAGATGGGGGCTGTTGTAACGAATTTCTCCATTTTACCGAGACAACGGCGCACCCTTTTGCGCGAAACGCGCCGCGAATAATCTTCATTACGGCAATTAACGTGCAGAGGACCTCCTGTTTCGGACGCGCTCTACTCGTGGCGACCACCACCATTGTGTGTCAGGTGCCAGATAAATTTGTAAATAATTCGAGACGAGTGCTTCGAGAGGAATTTCTCTCTAACTTGCTTTTTTTTTTTCTTGTTTTGACTTCGACGATTGCTTAATTTTTGTTTAGGAGCTTAACAATTATATATATATATATAAAGAGAACATTGTTATTAGAATTTTAGTTAAAGTTTTGGATTAAAAATTTGAGAGAATTTGGACAACTTGTGTAATAAACTTCGTTACGTAATTTTTCGTATAAAATTGGGTAAGATGTATAATCGAGTACACGTGGAACACGTTACATCGATATATATATATATATCAACAATAATCATCTAAAAGCCACAATTCAAACGCAGTGTTGTTTCTCGTGATGATCATGGCGAGCGGGTCGACTATCTCAAGGTCGACAGGCCAACCTGTTTCAGCAGACTATTTTATTACACTCGCCATTCTCGTTCCTAATTATAGACCAGCCTTCATCCCGATCGATTAAATCTCCCTCGTATGATCTATACCCCGACCTATCGATTCTCCAAACAGCTACAAATCATCATCTGTCCGCGCATAAAACCGTGTATACTATCTTTCCGCATCTTCCAGATCAGATCTGGGCTGAACTGAGTAATAACTGAAAAATATCAACGTCGATGATCGTTTCCAGAAATCTTATATCGACAATTCGTATATCACGTTGTTTCGCGAAGAAATTGAGAAGAAAAATTGAACAAAAAAAAAAAAAAGAATCGTTGATTCCAATATTTCCACGACGAATCCATCCTCGCGAAAAAGAAATTCTTCCGTATTATCGATTATTCTTACGGTCACCTTATTTCACAAAGAACTTGAGAAGAAAATGATGAAGTTAATTCTAATATTTCCACGACGAATCCATATAAAACAAAAAATATTGCAAACATTTAAAAAATTCTTCCTATTCTTCCGTATCATCAAACTATTCTATTATTAATTTTAACTTTTCGAGCAATTTATCTTATTTCACAAAGAACTTGAGAAGAAAATGATATAAAGATGCAGTTAATTCTAATATTTCCACAACGAATCCACAAAAAAGAAATTGCAAATATTTAAAAAATTCTTCCTATTCTTCCGTATCATCAAACTATCCTATTATTAATTTTAACTTTTCGAGCAATTTATCTTATTTCACAAAGAACTTGAGAAGAAAATGATGAAGTTAATTCTAATATTTCCACGACGAATCCAAAAAAGAAATTGCAAACATTTAAAAATTCCAATTCTTTCTATCATCAAATCACCATCCAATTATTAATTTTAACTTTTCGAGCAACGAACACCCCCATTCATTTCCCCCAACGAATCGTTCTCCAACGATGGAAAGAAAGACGTGGCAAAGGGGTGTTTAAATTCCTCGAGACCACCGCGTATAATCCAGATTCTAGCTCGGTCGTGCCATGGGCGGAACTACCGTAGGCTTTTAGTTATGAGAGCCATAGAGGTGGAACACCCCCTACTACCACTGCTCTAGGGTCGCGCATAATTAGCCTAAATCACGACGGGGTGTCCCGACGGGATCCGCGACATCTGCATAGCACGTGTCTTGTTATCCTCCGCTTACCGGGCAGGAATTTTGGTTGGAAACTGTCGTATAGCTTCCGTGGACAAGAACGAGCAGACCATTCAGAATACTGTGCATGGTGGGGAAGATTTTGGCCGGTCGCAGTTGGACAAACCTGCGTCGAGGTATAAGGATGCCTCGTTTCGTTCTATCTATGATTATCGTTAGAACATCGAGGCTTAACACGTCGTGGCTAATAATAGTTTGGATTATTTCCTTTTAGCCGATTCAAAATTTGATTTGCTTGAATTTTTGCTGTAATATTAATTTTCTGACATTTCTTCGAGTTTTCTTCTTTTTTCGTCTTTTGGAAATATATATATATATATAGTGTTATATATCTTTGCCATATTTAAATGGATTTAAAGTAGACAAAAATTTTACAACAACAACAATTATACGACCGTTCGAAAATATCTGAAGAAAAGATAAATCGTCGATTCGTTCGAAAATGGCATTTCACTTTTCTTCCCTTCGATCGCTTCATAAAATTGTCAATGAAAATCCTCACGTGTTTCCCTTCCATCCGGATGAAACAGCAGCGGTGATGGTGGTGGTGGTCGACGCGCTCGATGGCGGAGGTAAATCGAGAGGGATCGAAAGAGAGTTTAATGGTGTTGAAACGGGTTGATG